TCACCAAAACTTCCCATTGCAGCGTGGGTAATGGCTGCAGAGATGGAGTCCCCTGTTGAGTTAACCTTTCACACACTGTGTGCACTCCATACATACATACATACATACATACATACATACATGCAAACAAATCACTCATGTATAAAATAAATAAATCTTTAAAAAAATCCCCTTACCTAAAATCCCACCTTAGTTTTCAATGTTATTTCAAAGTAAGTGATAGACAGCAGCCTTCTTCATTTTAATGCTTTTGCAGACTTATCCTTAGAGCTCAGTGTGTTTACATTTTTAGGTGAAGTTTAGCCACTGTGAATGTGCCAGGTCTCAATGCTCATTTGATATATTTGATGAATACAAGCCCTTAAGCACCACCAAGGGGTGGAACTCCCTGGAGTCTCCCTGGGTTGATTCAGATTGTGTAACATTTAATCAGATGGCATCCAGCAATGTACAGCAATACCTTCTGGTGAGAACTCTTACACGCGTAGTGTCTTTGTGGCCATCCTGTGCAACGTCTACCTGGATGCTACACTTTGTTCACTACAGTGTCCTGTGCACTGTCTGCATGTGCACCCTTTATTCTGTCTGGTGATGGCAGGCACAGATCTGCATGTACTGTGCTTGGAAGCAAAGCTTCTACAACACTGTCAGACTCTTTTAGGGATGCTAGCAACCACTCTATCATGGAGAGGCTAGGTCATGGGAAGGAATGTGCTCAAACTTAGGAAAATCCTTCAGAAGTTTTCCTAAGTGCCTGTACCATCTGTCTGCCACCATTAATGAATAAGTCTTGTTGCTTCTCATATTGTCTTTTTTCTTTCTTCCTTTCTTTCTTTCTTCCTTCCTTCCTTCCTTCCTTCCTTCCTTCCTTCCTTCCTTCCTTTCTTTCTTTCTTTCTTTCTTTCTGTTTGTTTTTTTTGTTTGTTTTTTGTTTTTTAGAGACAGGGTTTCTCTGTAGCTTTGGGGCCTGTCCTGGAACTAGCTCTTGTAGACCAGGATGGCCTTGAACTCACAGAGAGATCCGCCTGCCTCTGCCTCCTGAGTGCTGGGATTAAAAGCATGCACCGCCACTGCCCAGCTGGTTTTTGTTTTTCAAGGCAGGGTTTTGATGTGTAACAGTCCTGGCTGTCCTGGAACTTGCTTTGTAGACCAAGCTGGCCTCGAACTCATTGAGATCTGCCTGTCTCTGCCTCCTCCCAAGTGCTAGGATTAAAGGCGTGCACCATCACCACCAGGCCTCATATTGTCTTTTAATTTTAACCATGAGAAGTGTTGAGTTTTGATGAATCCGTACATAGACTAGAGACTATTAACTCAGTTCTCTTGGGGGTGTTTTCTGTTGGTCCTCAAACCCCAGAGGCAATCGCAAGGCCAGCTTGGGAACAGGTGGAGAACATCTCGGGGATGGGAGTACCTTGAATCTGTTTTCCCTCTCCACCCCATTTTGAAATATGTAGATTACATGCCACTATGAGCAGCATTACAGAAGCTGGGTGTAGCAGCTCTTCTCATCTTCCTGGTGCTCAGGAGGCTGAGGTAAGAGGATCGTGACAAATCTGAGGCCATCTGGGGCTACGTTGTGAGTCCTAGGACAGCGAGGACTGTATAAAGCTGGGGTTCATAAGAAGACTCTGCTTAAGAGAGCAAAGGAGGTGTCACCCTGCAGTTCCAAAAGTAGTAACAGCCTATGAATTAGAATCACTGTCACAAACTGAGATGTTGACAGTGATGTGACCTGCTGACCTTACTCAGATTTTTCCAGTGTTCCTATTCTCAGTCTTTTTTTTTTTTTAAGCCTGTAGGGCATTTAACCTATTCTCAGTCTTTTTTTAAAAAAGTATTCTTTTGAGAATTTCATACATGTATCACCACATGTATACAAAGAAGTATGATTATATATCCCTTTTCCATTCATTAACCCCTCCAGTTCTCCCAGATACCCCAACATACCCCCTTCCTGGTTTAATGTCCCCATCGTTTTACTGGGTCTCAAGTCCAAAATGACCTCTGGGTCTCTATGTAACCAGTGATGATCTTTCATTTGAACTTTGGATACATTTGCTTTTGCCTCTTACCTGGTTTATACAGCTCTGGGGATTGAGCCCAGAGCTTTGTGCATCGTAGGCAAACATCTTACAAACTGAACTACATCCCAAGTACACACCTTTAAAAAAAAAAAAAAAGACAGAATAATCTTTCCAGGTGTGGTAGTCCTGCATTTGGGAGGCAAAGGCAGGAGGATATCAGTTGGAGTCCAGTCTGATCTACATAGCAAGTTCTAGGCCAGCCAAGGCTCTGTAGAGAGATCTTATTTCAAAAGAAAGGAAAGGAACAGAATAGACTGCCCCTCTGTAATCCTGGCTGGCCGGCCTCAGCAATCAGTTTCTCAAGTGCTGGATTACAAATGAGAACCACCACATATGGCATAGATTTTTTTTCTTTGGTGAGTAAGGGTCTTTCTTGATTGGCTGGCCTTGAACTCACAGAGATCTACCTGCTTCTGTCTTACAAATATTAGGATTAAAGGCATGTAGGCATGTGCTGCTATGTCCTGCCATTCATTCAATGTATTTTTTCAACATTGCTGTTGGAGTCTCCACCCCCCAATGTCACCAAATGTTTGCCTCAAACCCTTGAGGCAGTGATAGTAAGGGGCTCAGTCATGAAAATGTTACATGTTAGCTTTGGTCAGCCCCCAAATCTTGGTAAGGATGCTTGTGTTCTATGTTGACTCTTAGCCTTTGTGGGAAGTAATCTGTTTGCCTGGGAGCTCTATCTTTGGAAGAGTGGGGACAGTTCTTGTCACAGTTGGCTAAATGACGTGAGTCTGGAGGCTGATGCAAAGAGATGTCCAAGTCTCAGCATTCACTTGTTTCCAGGTCCGTGGCTTAGCAAGTTAGATGCCAGAGAGAAATGCACTTTAAATTCACATTAATCCCTAAGAGTTAGGTTGCGAAAGAATCTCAGTATTGGTCTGCAGGGATGGCTCTGTGGCTAAGAGTGTTTGTTGCCCTTGCAGAGGACTCGGGTTTGTTTCTTAGCACCCAATAATGGTTCACAGTCATCTATAATTCTAGTTCCAGGGAATCTGATGCCCTCTTCGGACCTCTATGGGCATCAAACATACATGTGGTGTACATACATACATGCAAGCAGAGCACACACACAAAATAAAAAAAAATGAGTATAATCTAATAAGTTTTCTTAAATCTTAGGTTATCTGAAGCATATCTTAGCTTTCTACAAGTAAACTGAATGAATTTTAGCTTTTTATAAGATTATTAAAAGTGCACTCTGCTTAGGGAACTCTATTTTCCTTTTGACATCATTGTGTTAAGCATTTCTTTCTGGATGTCACCATGGTCTAGGAGGCCCTAAGTACACAGAAACATTTATGTTTTCTCTGCTAATAGTGTTTTCTCTCCAGTTTGTTCCCCTGGGGAAGGGGGGTTGGCACTTGTGTTGGAGGCCTTAGAGCAGAGAGTGGAGGAACAGGTGGGCTTGAATCATATATGATATTTCCCCCTTTACTTTTCCTATGTAATGAACAACAGATTTCCTTGCTTTATCACCTCAGCTGCCTAACCAGAATGCCTTGGGCCTGTAACCCTTCTGCAGATGCTGCATGATTTTATGTTTTCAGCTATGACAAGGCTTCAGGCTTTCCCTCTCCTCATGGACGCTTGTTGCTTTCTGTTGGTTTGATAAGTGCTGTTCTCACGGGTGTGAAATTGTGTCTCACTGTGGTTTTGTTCCTCTTACAGTGCTGGGATTGAATGCAGGGCCTTGGGTATGCTAGACAAGCACTTACCACAGTCAGGCCCAACTTTTTAAATAAGTGCTGGGGATTCAAACTCAGAACTGCATACTTTAATGAGAAGTGTTCTTAGCCCACTGAGCCATTCCCCCAGCCCCTATGTTTTTGATTTGCATTTCTCTTGACAAAGATGTTTGAATACCTTTTGTGAGATTATTGGCATTCTGTGTCTTTAGATAACTGTCTAATCAGTTCTACTATATTTTTATTTACCTTTATTATGGAATTAAGAGATTTTAGAATCTTGTCTAAAATCTGTGTCTTACCTGCTATATGATTTTGGAATGGGATATGTTCAGTGGTAGATTGCTTACCTAGTATGTATAAGTTCTAGGTTCAGTTCCCAATACCATGTAAATAAGGCATGGTGGCACACACCTGTAAGGCCAGAACTTAAGAGGTGGAGGCTGGGAGGATCAGGAGCTCAAGGTCATCCCTGGCTACAAAGAGTTAGAGGAGAATATGAAGTTCAGGAAACACTGTCTTTGAATATATGTAGGTAACTTGTACATACTCTCTCCGTTCTGTTGGTTGACATTGGAGCATGTCAGCTTTTATTTATTTGTTTTGTATTTTGTTTTATTTTTGAGGCAGAGCTTCATGTATCCTAGGCTGGTCTCAGACTCGCTGTGTAGTTGAGAGTCACCTTGAGCTCCTTGTCCTCTTTCTCCTAAGTGTTGGAACTGCAGGCAGGCACCATCATACCTGGCACAAGGGTTTAATTTTGATGAAATCCAGTTTTTGTTTCATTACTGATGCTTTTGGTGTCTGACAATCTATTGCCAAATCTGAAGTCATGTAGATTTTCTTCTTCTATGAGTTTTATAGTTTTAGCTTTAGTAGTCATTGGTGCATGTTGAGTGCCCTGTTATTTGAGGAGATCGGGTAGTTCTAGAGCTGGTTCTGGACTCAGGTCTTAGATCCCTTATCAAGGGTTGATGGTCTTGTACCCTGGTTCTGAGTGAAACTCCCATTGGATTGTAAATTTTGCTGTGCAGTATGGCATGTTTTGGATATGGGCAGGTGGGATTAGTAGTACAACATGCTAAGGGTACATTTTGCTCTGGGTGGGTACCCTGGTCCACAAGCTGGACTAGACTGAAGCTCATTGCCTTCATGCATTCATGGTCTTCATTTTGCAGTTGCAGTATTCCCGAATGACGTGTGTACCTCCCTTCCCTAGATGTGGACCTGACTGTCACTGAGGCCAGCAGCTCGGACAGCCGAGGCGAGAGAACAGAGCTGTATGCACACATCGACGAGGGCCTCCTGGGAGGAGAAACCAGCTACTTGGGCCCACCCCTCACTCCAGAGAAGGAGGAAGCACTGCACCAGGCCACTGCGGTGGCCAACCTTCGGGCCGCCCTCATGAGTAAGAACAGTCTGCTGTCACTCAAGGCTGACGTGCTCGGTGATGATGGCTCACTTCTGTTCGAGTACCTGCCCAAAGGTGCCCACTCATTGTCTCGTAAGTGCAACCCTGGTGTGTCGCTGTGTCCTGCTTTGATTTTAAGCACCTCATTTCAATTCTCAGACCCAGGGTTACTGAGGATGAGGTTATAGCCAGTTTGTCAGGCAGATCGGCTGGGAGTTGAACTACTTTCTAGCTACCTCAAGGTCTTTCAGGGGGTAGACTGGCTTTGAGTCCTCTGGGACCAGCATGCTTGCTTTACAAAGCAAGAAGGGAGTTGGTATGTGTTGTTGGGTATCAAGAGGAAGCAATGAGTGCTTATTGGAATGTTTTGTACTCAAACTCGAAGCATCTAAGCCTAAAACCTACCAAACTTAAAAGTACACACAATTAGTAACCTTAAAACCTTTTGAGCCAGTGGCAGGCCTGGTGCCAGAGAGTCTTTGTGTCCAGGGAACAGGTGCTGGCTCCCTCTGCTGGTCTCGCCACCCAGCCTTTGTGCTGGGATTTGTTCTGTGTATGAGACATACAGAGAGCCCTTGACCCAGGGATGTGGAGCTTACTTTGTTCTTGTTAGAGAGTGCTGGTCACGTGTGTATTTTCAGAAAGGAGTTGGATGCTGCATTTGAGACCTTAGTGTGTCTTGCTGCAATCCAGACCACAGACCGACCGACCATGCTGCAGCTGAAGGGCAGCTGCTGTTCAGCCCTGACTCCTTCAAGCTGCCTTTTCCTGTGAGACAAGAGGCATTAGCTCTAAGACAGGCTGCTTCCCTTGTCCCAGTACATGCTGACTATAGCAGCCGCTGGTATGGGAGAAAGGTGTGACTGCCCTGGGCATCAACCTAGCTCCAGAACTTCCTGTTTCTCTGGTGCTCAGCCGTGAGTGTGAGTAAATGACTTGATACCTTTCTCTCCATGGGGAAGGAAGGAGACACACCCCACACTGGAGACACCGAGTTGGGAACATGAGGGGTATCGTGTTTCAGGAAGCCCAAGTACATGTATGGTGGTGAATGGTCGCCCTCCAAGCCACTGGGTTACAGGACAGTTTCCAGTTGCCTTTGCACCATGTTTACAGTTGTGTCTCCATGAGTACTAAAGCATTATTTGTTGGGCTTTTGTATTGGTTTTAGGAGTTATGCAAATTGCTTATGGCAAATAAAGACTAAAGGTGGAAAATGATGTCTGCCCTCTTTATTTCCAAGTTACCTATCAAGTGGCCTTGGAGACAAGCTGAGGCTGCTCCATCAACAGGATGCACTCACATGAGGCTTGCTGTCAAAAACTCTTAGGCCTTGTTTCCCACATCTGGGAAATGGGGATGGAGCCAATCCCTAGCTGTTGTAATTGTTAAACAGCATCCAAAAGTATGGAACATGGCTTAGACAAACAAATGTGGTGAATGACTCAGAAGCAAAGTATATTTATGGACACGGATTGTTGGATTCCTCAAAGTCCCAAAGTATTGGGACAGTTCGTGGAGGTGGTTGCAGGGGATATGGGGTACTTGGAATTCACATGAACAGAGGAGTTCTGAAATTCAACAACTTTTTGTGGATAACATGGAGCAGTGGAGGTGAGGCGAGGTCTGAATTATTCTTACTCTTTCTTCATACTCATGGGACATGCGTGTCCAATGTAGTATAAAACTCCCCCTTCAGGGCAGGCTGGGGTAGCAGCTCCTGTTTGTTCCCTGATTCCCCAGATACTGTTTGTCTTTAAGAATAAATTTGGTGGTGCACACCTTTAATTCCAGCGCTCGTGAGGTAGATCTCTGTGAGTTCAAGGCCAGCCTGAGCCAGGGCTATTACAGAGAAACCACATCTGGAGGGGGGGAGAGGGAGAGAGAGAGAGAATATGAATGAGGGTTTGCAGGATTTCTGTCCTTTCTGTATCTACTAGCTTCACTCTGGCATGAGCTCTGTTTGTGCTAGGAGCATACAGTAGTCATGTCCACAGTCAGCTGGCATGGCCAGCCTCAAAAGCTGATTTCACTTTCTGCAGCAGGGTCTGACCTCGGGGTCCCGTTGTCTGAGTGACTCTGGCCCTAAAGCAAGGACTTTCTTGCTTTAGGGGGTGCTGGAGCTTAGCCAAACCAAGGTAGTGCCTGGCCAGGAAGGAGCCGTAAGTGTGTGTTCTCCTTCTCAGATCTCTCTTCTGGTATGAGCTACTTCTCAGTCTGTACTTTATAAAGCTTGGAGGTGGGGTAGGGTAGCAAGGCCTCCTTGTGACCGCTTCTGAGGTTTAGCGTATGCACCCCTGTACTTCCAAAGATTGCCAAGGCTCCTCCTGTTCTGTCCTTTACAGATGGAATCAGCTTTTAGGTTTGATATTTTGTTATTTCAACGATGTTTTAACATTCTTATTTTTAATATCCTAAATATGCCACTGTTTTCATATAAATTTGTCCTTTTATTTTCTGTGTATAGGGTCAGAGGTTGGCAGAATCATGCTGGGTGTAGTGGTGATCACCTGTACTCCCAGAATTGAGGAGATTGAGGCAGAAGGATCATAAGTTTGAATTAACAGGGGTACGTACATACTGAAATCCTGCCCCGTTTTTTGAGTGGCAAGATGTAGGGTTTGGTCGTGAACTATAGTACTTTGACTGTGTGTAGATGCAGAAGAATGAGTCAGTTATTTTAAGCATTATTTCCTAGCATCCTAAATTAAGCCTGCCAGGTTTTGTGCTACATTAGAATGGAGCATAGAAATGCTCAGATAGATTCTTGTTTTTCAAAATGTGTGGTTTGTCTCACTGTGTCGAGATCTACCATGAGTGTCCATGATGGACAGTAGGACTTATGCTCCAAGGCTGTGGGGATTGTGGCAAGGCTTAGGGGTGGGTAGTGCTGGTTCTGCTGGTGGCAGGCTCTGTACGCAACACCCACGTGCCCTCATATCCACAAAGTTCACAGGCGCCACCTGCCGTGCTCCATGAGCATGTGTGGAACAGAAGCAAGGGTTGCAGTGGAGTATGATTGAGGTCCATTCCTCTATGATGTCATCTGAAGGAAACTTTAGGGACATTGGAGCTTTCCCGCATCGCTTTGCTGACTTCCCTTCAGGAGTTATGTGGCTGACAGGACAGCATGTTTCATTTCAATAAACTGGGGCTGGGTTATAAGTTGGGAGAGATGAGTGGCTGACACAGGAGGAGCAGCCCTGTTCCACAAACCACCTGTGCACCTTGTCTAAGCACCCAGCTCCCCTTCCAGTTCCAGAAATGTATTCTTTGAGTGGCAGGTGTGTTGGAGAATCTGTTGTGGGAGGCCTTTTTAGGGCTATATAACCAGGATGCCAAATATGTTTAAAAAGAAACGCCTAGTGTTTGGTTGGGTATTTTTCCCTCCCTTCGTTGGGAGAGCTTCTGCTTCAATTCTGATAAGCTCCAGAGAGGCGCTTGGGACAGGGTGCCAGGATTCTGGCTGCTGTGTTTGGCTGGATTCGACTTTGTCCTGGAACTCACAACCACCACCTGTGTTGCTGATGCCAAGCTTTGTCATGTGGGGCTGAGACTCCACTGCAGTACCTGAAGGACATAAACCCCAATAGATGTGGAATCATAGCTCCTCAGTGTAGTGTGGTGGCTGTTTTGTGGTACAGGACATGAAGCATTGGTATTCTAGCTATGACCCAACTCTCTCTGCTCACACACTGATATAGATGTGGTTTGGTCATGGCAATTTTGTATGGAAATTCAATTGTAGTTAAAGATTTTTATTATTGTTGTTTTGTACTGGGAATTGACCCTTGGCCTGGAACATGATAGATAAGCACTCTGCCATTGAAAGACTCTCCAGCCCTTTTTAACTTTGATTTTGAGACAGTCAGGACTCTTCATAAGTTGACCAGTTTGCTGTGTAACTCAGACAGATCTCAGGTCTCCTGTCACATTCTCTGAGCACTAGGATTACGGTCCTGCACCACTGAACCTTGCACTTGGGAGGATGACAGGATTGTGCACCATCAAACCCTGCCCTTGCAAGTTTTTTTTAACTTTTTAAAAAAAAATTATTATGTATACAATGTCCTGACTGCATGTATCCCTGCAGGCGAGAGGAGGGCACCAGATCTCATTATAGATGGTTGTGAGCCACCATATGGTTGCTGGGAATTGACCTCGGGACCTTTGGAAGGGCAGCCAGTGCTCTGAGCCATCTTTCCAGCTCCCCACTTGCAAGTTTTTAAATATATACTTTATTTTTATTCATGCTCATGTGCATGCGTGTGTATGTGTGCATGTTTGGGGATATGTGTGAACCATGTGCTTACAGAGGCCAGAAGAAGGTGCCAGATCCTGTGGAGCTGTAACTCCAGGCAGCTCACAGCTACTGTGGGTGCTGAGAACTGAACTTAGGTCTTCTGGAAGTGCAGTGCACACTCTTAACCAGTGAGTCATCTCTGTAGCTTCTGTGTACAGATAGTACAAAGCAGTGAATACTCAGAAATTTTCTCTGGACAGTTCTAGAACATTCTAGAAAAATGAATTAACTTCTTTCTTTTTGTAGGTAGGCCTAATAAATTTAACAAGATGGTGTTTTCATACTGTATACCATTCTTGTAACTGCAGTCCCCAGAAATGGCCTTTGTGTTACTTCTTTTGACTCAGGTTGGCTTGATTTTCTCCTGTTACCTTTTCAGCAGTAAGCTGACAACTTATCTTTTCATGATCACCATTCACTGCACAGAAACCAGAGAGTAAATCATTTGTAGCTCACTCTGTGACTGTTTTACAAGTTGTGCTTGTGGGTGCATATTGACCAATCTGAGGCCTTGACACCTGTCTTTCTTCCATGAGCCTTGGAGAAATACTGTAAGAGTTTGAGTATGATTTACATGAGCAAATAAGACCAGCTGACCTGGGAGGCGATGACACCACCGACTCTGTCACCATTTTCACTTTCTTTGGTGATCCCAAACTGCCATCCCCAAGCAGAGTGATGGAAGGTCCCCTGAGAACTGCATACCTCAGTGATATCCTGTGCGAATTTTCCATATCCTTTTCAGGTCCTAAGGGCATGGCTATCCACCTTCCAAACCTACCCACTGGTG